ATATTTAATCATGTCCGGGTGCTAAAAATTTTTACTCGGGGGGATGAGTTGAGGAGAAAGATGAAATAAGGTGAAGATATCTGGTGGACGTGGTATTGAAAAGGGGGTTGCCAAAAAAATTTTAATGGAACGGCAAAGGCACCCAAGGTTGGGAGGGCGAACCAAGGTGTGTGAGTGAAGCGCAGCAGAAATCACTTTTGTTTGTTATGATACATCACGGCCTGATGCAGCGGGTTGGAAACCTGCGATCCGGGCTTGAGCTAGCCGAGGAGCTGCGTCAGGCATGATGGCTTTGAGGGTTCACCGTATTGCAAATAATTAACACATTTCAGACTTCTACTAAGGGCCGTTTGCACCATGTCTAGTTAATTCTAACTCCCAGTTAAACATCTTTATCGACGTTATCGACACCCATCATATAACATGTGATCGATAAAGCAGTGGATGTGCTTAACTGAAGGATGTACCTCCAGTTAGCGTTAACTAGACATGGTGCAAACGGCCCTAAGTAGTTTTAACTTAGTTTTACGATATTGCAAAACGAGTGTGAAAATGTATCGATTTTTATTTACGATATTTTGGAAAAATGACATTTTTATTAAATAATGTCAAGTTTGATCATCCGTTTATGTAATTTTTACTTTCAGTGGATGTTTATGCAAAAGAATAAGGTATAAGTTTCATGTTAATTGTGTGGAATAGCCAGAACTGCCGCAATGATGTGAAGTCGATGTTTATCAAAAGCATGCTGTGAAACATAGAAACATATATCTAAATGTTATGCACTTATTTGCGCTAAAAGAACAAGCTTGAAATTGACCTATTATTTGAGCATTTATATACGTAAATCATTCCAATTATAAAATTATGATGTAGACTTATTCGAATTGTAATACGCATTTAATTTTATCTTCCGATTCAAATGGATCGCTCTTTGTAAATTTCAATTGGAGATCATTCATATTATCAAAATCACGCTCTGCCAACTTAATTTTTACATATTTCGTCTTTTTTCCCTTAATTTAATAAAATACTTCTTCCTAGTTACGACTTAATTACAGCTGCAGCCGAAACTAAATTTTAAGTTGGTACTTAGCCAGAAAATTCGAAATTGAGGCGGCTATGAATAGCTTTAGTTGTAACTTAGGATAGTTTCGACTTAGTTTTGAACTAAATATGACTATGAATATGCGCCAATGAAGTTGGGCGGCTGCCTACTTTCGCTCAACTTTTGGTTCAACTAATCGCCTGTGGAAAATGAATCATGTAAATTCCCTGTTAGATTGGTAACCCCGGAATACAGCATTAAGGAAAATATGGGAGGTAGAGGGGGGTCTAATAGTTCCCTGTATGAAGTTTCAAAACGCGCAACTTTATAGTTTTTAAAGAATTTGTTGTTAAAGCTTAACCAACTTGTATGGCACTATTTTACAATATATAATGCACTTTCCACAAAATTTACACTCAATATATGTGCAGTTAGGCCCAATTTCAGATGGCCTATTTAAGTAGAGATTGTTGATTAACTTCCAATATTCATTTTCAGATCATACATTTAATCTGCACTTAAATTGCCAATATTGGCTATTTAAATATGAGATATGCAACCCTGTGTTTGTATCAAACAACCAAGATTGATTGGTAGGTTGTATAATCAATCCCACTAAATTCCACCAAAAAACAGTCAGCTGTTCAGCAGAAAATGTAAACAAACAAGCGAATGCAATAACAATTTCAAGGAACAAGCAGCAGAGCAGCCAATTGTTTGGCATATTTAAAGCCCTGTATGCAGCTCTCAAGAAAACGGTCAAGAAAAAATTGCCTTATTTCGTGTGTGTCCAAGGAATTTTGAAATTTTTGATACTTCACAGCCTGTTGCCTCACTCTTTCCTCAAGAAATAATGGAACGGGCATATATTCCTGTTGCAAACCTGGGTTGCCTTGTGCTCTTTTTTCACTAAAAACTTTAGAAAGCCGTAGTAGAAAGCGTAGTGTATTTCTTAAGAACTGCGTATTGCCTTAAGGAAATTTCTAGTACGTCATTTTATATGGAGTTTTTGCTTTTCTTGAGAGCTGCATACAGGCCTTTAAGGAAATTTTGACTCAAGAAAATTTCTCAGCTATTTCTTGTATGCCATTTTATATGGAGTTTTTGCTTTTCTTGAGAGCTGCATACAGGCCTTAAACAAAGTTGATCTGAAACACAACGAAAGTTAAATGGCATTTACTAACTGGAGGTACATCCTTCAGTTAAGCACATCCACTGCTTTATCGATCACATGTTATATGATGGGTGTCGATAACGTCGATAAAGATGTTTAACTGGGAGTTAGAATTAACTAGACATGGTGCAAACGGCCCTTAAACAACAATCCACAATTAAACTTAATTGCCATTTAAATACTCATTTGAAATTGGCCCTTAGAGTGTGCACGATCAAACAAATAAATACTTTAAGGGCCGGTTACTCAATGTCTGGTTAACACTAATCTGCGGTTAAACATCGTTATCGACGTCTTCGACTCCATGCATACAACAGGGAGTCGGTAACGTCGATAACTATGTTTAACGGGAGATTAGTGTTAACCAGACATTGAGTAACCGTCCCTTAGTATATTACAGCTTTTTATGAAAAATTCATTGTTGTTTAATTATTATGAGAATACAAGCAGAATATTTGCAAATGGCAGCAGGACTGTGTTGCCACATCTAACAAAAACCAAGGGTGGAAAGTAAGCCCAAAGGAAAATACGATTAAAAGGAAAATACGATAAAGTTTTTTTGTTCAGATAAAAATAAATAGTAGGGGGTTTGGGGTCATATTCCCCCATAAAATACTGAAACACATTTTTAAGGCTTGTATGTATATTTTATTGCGTCAATAAGTTTGACGAAAGGGTCCTCATGCTTACGAGCAATTGTTTTGCGCCACAGATATTCTATAATTTTATCTATTTTATTTATCATTTTACTTTTATTATATACAAGACATTTAACTAAAACACCCAGTAACCATAATAGACATCACTGGGGCGGCAGCCCCAGGTTTACCGCACAGAAAGGGAATTCTAGTTACCTCATCCTTTCCCAAGGCTACATCACTGGGGCAGTAGCCCCAGTTGGTGCACACCAAAAGGAGAAATCTATTTGGTAAGGGTATTATCCTAAAGCGCGGCCGCCTACGCAAAAA